ATCTAATGTATTGATGATTATTCACCCATCTTAGAAACCAGCCCAGGCTGAAATGGAAAAATATAAATAATTCAATGGTAATATTTCTGGGTTTCAAATTTGGTATTGCATTTAAAGGTTTCATTTCGTTTTAAAGTGCATTAATGAATGAATGAATATTTGGTAGTTACATATTTAGTGCATCAATTATTTTAATAATCCATTTACTAATGGAGTGTTGTTGTCTGTACGTGTTTGCTAGTTTACATACATTGTTTAAAAATTTTCATACACACACAAGCAATACATCACTGGCAAAATACTGCCCTCATGATATTGTGTCTACCCAATAATGCATGATACATGTCCAATTGACTGCCTGCTGTAAGAAGTTACAACTGTTGGAAACTATAGAGGGTGCTCTCACCATTTTGTGAGTTTTGATGAACCTTTTGGAGGCCACTCTGCTGCTAACAAAAAGGAAGTGGAAATGGACCTTCCCCTTTTTGACTAGGTGGCAGCAGATCAAGTCTGCACTTTTTAAATAGCCACAATTTTAAAGGAGAATTTTCAGCGCAATCTCAAGATACACTGAAGACTTTGGTTTTTCGAAGTCAACTTGTGCATGAGTCATCATATAAGTACGGAATAACTCCGAACTTACATACAGTACTAAGGAGAATGCATACTACTAAGGACAATGCCTTATGTCTGTCCATGTGTTCACACTCTTGATGGTCTTGATAGGGAGGGGGTTTCTTGTTTGAAAAATTTATGTAAAGTACTGTTTGACCATGGAGGAATAAATCTCCATGGTTTGACTTTATGTGTAAACTGTGCAAGCTCTCTCTGAAAGTGTGCATGATGTTTATGAAATCCTTCATCAGGTGTTTATTTAAAAAGTCCCTTGAAGCAAAATATTTTACTTTTTGATAAATATTATTGCTCTTAGATATTGCATGCTGAGAGATTTATTTTGGTAGACTTTTTACCAATATTTTGTATGATTGTTATTAAACAGCTATGTTAAAATTATTATTCGAAATTGTAAATTTTTCTTAAAGAAATATATTATTTTCATTAGTGCTAAAATAGATACATGTATTGTTCAATATAAAAACTATTTTGGAATCAAAATAGTTTAACATTTGGGAAACTATTATTATTATTACTATTATTGATGTTACCGTCTCTCAACAATGTTTTTGCTTGCTTGCTAACAATATCAGCATATTTTTATGTTTTCATGATGTATAAATTATTATTCATGTGATATATATGTTGTTCATTTTTGCCATTGTATCCCTTGACCGAACTCTGATGATCATCCTTTCTTTTCAAGGCAACGTTTGCCACTGTTTTTATTTCATCATCTCATTTCATATTTTCTTCTTTCATTCAAATATATTTGGAATTATATAAAAGAATCCCTTTTAAATAAGGGGAAAAAAAAGAAAAAAAAATCCCAATTGTGTACTTGTGCATGAATATACTTCAACATTGTCGAATATCATAATTTTAACAAAACATTATATTTTTTCCGATTAATAGAGAATAATAATTATTTTCCTTTACTCTTTTTTTGATTATAAAATTTTGACGGAAATATCATTTCATAAAACAGTTTTAAATAATTGTATGTTGTGTCTTTGTCATAGTTCAAGTGCACCCTTCCTGTGAATTTCAAATCTTGTGATTCGATTAATGTTTGTCAGATGCTATGTGGACAGTTACCTTTAATCATCTCATTTTATGTACTGATGCATCTCAATTTCATTTTTGTCATGTTCCTCTTTTACTTATTTTGCACATTCTTTCATTGTTGTTCATCTCTCTCACCATTCTTACTTGTGCAACCGTTTACATCTGTTCAATGCATGTTGTTGTATGTCTAGATTATAGTATTAAGATTTCATCTGCATATTTCCTCCTCTCTCAAGTCAGGGTGTTTTTTACAAACATTCAAGTCGAGTGTTTGACTGCATAACGCCACCGGTGACAGGTAAAATCCAATCAGTTATTTGCAAAAGTTGTTGACATTTCAATCCAAACAAAAGAAAAAATGCTTTCAGAAATTTCCCAATCTGCTGAAGCTTTGAGTGGTCAGAAAATGTATCTGTTTTGGTCACATGAGAAAAGTGTTGTTGTTGTTTTTTTTTTTTGTTTTTTTTTTTAATCTGTAGACTTCACATACTGTACAAGGCTTTCTGTGTTTTGTAACATTTGCACACAAAAGCCTTAATTTGTAATAAAATATCAGAATTCTGGACTTCACTTGTCTTTGTTCCTGTTGTGTCGATTTTACATTTTGGAGCTCTGAACGCACAATTTCGCACATTTTAAAGCTGGTCGCGATTTCAGAAAGCAAGCCCAATGATTTTAATTTAAACTCCACTCTGCAATTAACAAAAAAGAGTAAATGAAAATAAGTCCTTGAGGGTGGTTAATTGGTGCTAACCATTTTTCTTAGGGGACTAGTTGGTTTGCAAATCTCTCTTCTTTTTGTAAAACAGCAGCCAAGGATAAACTGCCCTGTTTGTATGATGGTAAAATACATTTACATGGTACCCAGTTTGATTTGGATGAATGTACAATATGCTCTTGCGACAACGCCACAACTTTCTGTTCCACAAGAACTTGCCCCATCACTGACTGCCGGGATCCCATCATTGGGCCAGATGCGTGCTGTGGAGCATGCGGTAAGTCAAAATAATTTCTCCCATCCTCTGTTGCTTCAAACAAATTTTTCTCCAAAATATTAAATTTTAAATTGCCCTATACAAAAAAAACTCCAATAATTTAGTAAATATTCAAGAAGATTCTTTAAAATATTAGCAAAATTATTCTTTGTAAAAATACAAAATTAAATTTAAATTAACATAATGTATAGGCTTATGTCTTAAGAACTGCAACAGAGATTTACCAACACAAAATTAAATGATGATCCCATACAAAATTTCCTGTAACTTCCACAGTGGCTACAGTTACAGATATCAAGCTAAGAGCATTGCCAACTACTATCTCGTATGATGCCTTCAACAATCTCCCATTTGATGTAACCATTGATTTTAATATCGATGAAAGCTCGTCTATATCAGGCACCGGACTTTGGCAAGTTAGTATGTGGGGGACCCATTTATCCAATGGTGATGGTAAGCGAGTATCTTACAGAAAACAAGTTCTGAACGAAATTATGCAATCTCAAACACTTACCAAAGGGAGTTCTTTGAGATTTCAAGATGTTTCTTTCGAGTTGGATCTGAGAGGGGGTTCTTGTGATGACGTGCCTTTTGTGTGTGTTGAGTTTGGTACTGGAGAGATGTCAAGTGCAGAATTCAGCTTGCGTGTGAAAGAAGGAAAAGCATTGGTTACATGTGTAGAGATCAGTTACTGTGAAGGTTAGTTGCGACATAAACAATCTTCAGTATTCATATTTATTCATAAAAATCATATTAATATTAAAAGAAACTTACACATGATTTTATTTAGATTTAATTTTAAAGATCAATTAACATTTCCTTATTTCCATCAGAGTGTTATTCAGTGCAAACCCTTTTTTTACAAATGTCACTGTATCCTACCAAAAACCCCTGCTTTTCCATGTTATTCATGCTTGTAATATTTATCTTTAATGTAATTTTGACAGCTTTTTCCCCCACCAATTTTGCACTAAAACATCTGTTTTAATTTCAATTAATAACATTTTTGTTTATAAAGTTAAAAGAGTTTAAACGTTTAAAATTTAATTGATTTTTTTTTATTTAGAAAATAAAGTAATATGTATGATGCACTGCTTTGAGTTGTTGTTTATGTGTTATGTAGCAGGCTTACATTACCCAAACTGAGCTATTTGCGCATTCCTTTTACACACATATTTGCACACTTTAATAGAAATGTAAAAAGTATGGAAAAGGCTGCTTATTATTAATGAGGTTGCTGTGTTTTAATTTAATTGGATTAATTAAACAAATAGTAAAAAAAAAATAATTGGAGGATTATAATTGATTAATAAAGATTTTATAAAATATAATGTGCAAGAGTAAATTAATTATGAAGTAAAGTCTTGATATAAATATATTTACCGGTCAAAAATATTGGGGGCTTTGAACCATACCATATTCCAATTCATGATAAATTTAGTTGTCCTTAAAAATATCTTGGGATTGTTTATTGGTAAAGGAATACATTGAAACATACCATATTCCAACTCTTGATAAGCTAACATGTCCGTAAAAATATCTTGGGCTTGTTTTATCGGTAAAGGAACACATTACCACGGTAAATTTTGTGAATCATCTTTTCGTGCTGAAATTTGAGCATCGGTGAGTTAATCAAAGTTTTAATGCATGATATTTTTTGCACGTTTTCAGTCAAACATCTTTGAAATCAATTTTTCAGTAGTCCTGTTTGAATAATAGAAGTCATTATACAGTATAAGACAACTGTTTCAATAGATGAAGAATCTAATGTTCTGTACACACTACCTTCACAAAATCCATTGAAGATAATAATTATGTAATACACACTAAAAAGTTAGATAAGTTAGATTATATTTATTGTTAGTTTTCTATATAAGATGGTCTTGTTAGATTTTTCAGACCAGTATTAGTACCTTACTTGTGTCAATGTGGTACCAGTTTGTTTTAAAATTTCAAAATTGAATTCCCCCACTACCAACCAAATTATGGTTCATTTCCAAAATCATAAGACTTGTACCATATTGAACAAAAAGGATTTTGCTAGATTGTTTACGTTGTTGATGTTTACTTCTCTACTTTCCCTTGCATGCTTCTATCTAAATCCTCAGAATATGTTTATCTCTAGCCATGCTAGGAAAAATGCATGAGGGGTAAACTAGATGAATTAAAATTTATGATTATAAGCATGGGGTGGATATTTCTTTTGCATGAAGTTAAGCATGACTTTGCATCAGTTCTCATTTGGGTTTCTGCTGGTTTCTCCTCAGTATATTTACATCTTTATGTGGCTTTTCATCTGAAAAAAGCAAGGCAACTATTTCCCCTTGCATGTTGCTGATGGAGAGAGAGCAACATTTTAAAGGTAAATACGTGCTCAAAAAATATTCCTTTCACTTGTTGTAGATATAAGAAATTGCATGAAAATTTCTCATTATCCCTAGCCAAGTTGGTGTAAAGGGAGTTTCTTTTTCTTGCTTGTATTGTCCCTCTTATACCTTTTCAGTTACAGCAAACATCAACAGCAATAAATGATGTTTATTTTGTTTATAAAACTTAGTGGAAAATTAATGCAAGTATAACAAAATAGAAAGTAATTTCATTTTATAGCAGATACTATGGAATTTCTAAACAATATTTGAAAGGTTTGTAAATTGTACACATTAACTTAACTGAAATATTGTTTACTTTCCAACATTTTGTTCCATAAGCTCTGTCCCAGACTATCAAACTTTTTTTGACAAAAACATGTGACATGCCTAAATATGGTCATGATGACATCACATCATGACCATATATAGGCACATCTTGACTATATATTGACAGTTTTTTTTTGTCAAATAGAATTTGATAGTCTGTACAGAGCTTTATAAAGCTGCTATATAATCAGTTGCAGTTGCTTTTTATTTTTTAAAACTTGCATTAATTTACTATTAATGATATACTGTCTCTGTGTCAAATCAATCCATTTGGTGAAAGCCACCTAAAAATCAATCCAACTTTGAATTGCTCATTTAAAACAATCAAATAAGTTGTCAAATTACGATAAGGCACAAATCAAAACCATTTGGAATTGGTTTATATTACAAACTTTACTACAAACATTCTGAAGCGTTGTCCACACTATAAAATTTTATGTAACAAATGAATAAATGTGATATGCCCTTATATTGGTATAATATGACATCACCATATCCATATATGGGCAATTCACATAAAATTTGATAGTGTGGATGGAGCCTTAAATCTATCAAAATTATTATAGTGTGATTTGTCCACACTATCAAATTTTATGTGACAAATGAATAAATGTGATATGCCCATATATGGGCAATACATGTCCATATACAGTATGAGCAATTCACACAAATTTGTCTCATAAAATATGTGCCTGATAGTTGCCGAAGAAAATAGTTTCTAAGCTTAATTTTCAATTGTGAGCTAATAACTTATTTATAAAATGAGTAATTCCAATATTGAATATTAATAATATATTTTATCGGTGTTAAATCGACAGTAACTCATATCTTCCACTTATTTCATGTGATTAAAACATGTTGCTTATAAACTTATTTAAAGATTAATTTTTTATTAATAAGATTAATTTTTTATTAATAAGATTAATTTTTTATTAATAAGATTATTTTTTTTATTAAAAAGATTAATTCTTTATTAATATTACTCAATGAAAGGTTAATCAAGGCACAAAAAAGAAGCAATTAATGCAATCAAAATATTATATTTTCCTATTTAAGTACAGTAATTACATGTGTATTTTCTTGTTATACTGTACCTTCCAAAACATGCAGAGTATTTAATTGTAATTGTTCAATTAAAGTTTAATATGACCGTCCCAGTGCAAAACAATGTAAATCTTGTTTTTTGTTAAGTTGCATTATTTTGCTTTGGAACGGCTGAATTGCTGTTGGAACTGAATTATTAATTGATCAGTGTAACAAATTTATTAAATAATTTTTTGCTTAAATAGAAGTAAAAAAGAATTAAACTTTTATGCCTTGATCACCTAACAAATGATCTGATTGGTCAAGTACAGCAGTGTTTTAAAACTAAGCAATGTTTAAGGGGAACAAAGGTACCATCTGATCACTCAAATGCACTTCTAGCATAACTGTTAGAGAATGAGGAACTGGTAGTATCCCAAGAATGCAAACGATATGACTGCATCTTTAACAAGCGTTTATTATGAAAGTGTGAAGATTTTTATTTTGTGCATCTAATTAGAGGTCATCAATTATTTTCATCATTTCTGCAAGAGTACAAAACATACTTTTTTGTGTCCAGATCTCCATCCCCATCCTCCACTGAAAAGTACACATTAAAATGATGATTTTTGTCATTTGGAGATCATCATTTTATCTTTTCTTTTATAAAAGAGTACATATGCCTACACTGTCGACCCCTTTACTTTGTACAGTGTATGTTTTGTACTATTGTGAAAATGATTAAAATTATAAATAGACACTAAATGTATATTTTCTTGAAGATTTTGTTACACCTGTAGATTTAATTTCTTTCAAATTCAACAGCCCCACATTTAAGAGTAATTCATATTTTACTGAGTAATTAATGCTTTCATTTGTATACTTACAGAATTAATTTTAAAATTGGAATTTATTTTTTAAAACAGAAATATGTTTCTTGAAAATTGCTTGTAGAAATATTTAAATCAAAGTTTTGCAAGCAATCTATAAATATATAGTTAATATGAAATGCATTATATTTCAGTAAAATCCACTTGGAAGAATATTTTTTTTTAAATTAATAAAATGACAGTTGCAGCCTTTAGTGTTGCTCATAAAGAGTCTTCAAGATCATAAGTATTAAATTAATGCAGTACAGTGGTTAAGCATTTTAATCCAATTAAATGCCAAAATTCAAATTTGTGGAAGCAGTATTTGATTCCGAAATTGAAGACTTAATATTTATATTTACTTAAATTTCAATTGTAAGTAAGGATCTCAGATTTAGAAAATACTTACTAAATTAGACTAACACAATATTCATTCAGTTAAGGACTATTATATTACTCTAAATTAGTAAGTGTTTTTTAAAGTACAGTAATGCAATATTCACTAAATTCAGGACTGGATTTCCAAAAACTTTTCCAATTTTTATTAGAATATTTACACAAATATGTAAATTAATTTTTATGAAATATTATTTACCATTTTCAACGAATCCTGTTCTACAGTGTATTTATGAGTGAATATTGTACTGTTGCGTATTAAATTCTGCAGTATTTCTACATTTTAAATTATCAACTTTGAAACAATGTCACTTATTATATTCACTTACAACATTTTATTATTATTCAATAGATGAAACAGCAGTGGGCATTGGCATATCATGGCAACTTGATGAAATTACACTACATTATGGACAAAATGATGAATTAGATTTTAGATTAAGCATTCAATTCCAGCCCATGAATTACACCAATGTATCAGGGAGTAATCTCTGGAAGGCATCCATTTTTGGTAGTACCAATGACCATGGAATTGGTGGGAAATTTCTGCTAAAGGAGCAAATACTTAGCAGTGAGCTTAGTAGCAAGGAACTTGTAGCAAAAGCTACCACGATAGACTTTGGAACAATAAAACTACAGTATGATTATACACAAGTCTCATGCTCAAGTAGCAATTTCTTGTGCGTGGAATTCTTCAGAGGAGATGCACCGGAACCAGATTTTGATTTTGTGATTGATACCGAATCCAGGTCACTGGTAGCCTGCAAGGAGCTCACATGTAAAAATGGTAAGTTTTTTGTCATGTTCAGAAGAATATACAAACATTCATATTTCTTTAAACTACACAGATCTTGATTACTGCAAAGCAAACATTTAAAATATCAAATTGACAAATTTATGAGAATATTTCAATGTATTTATGTCTCACTTATGCCTACTTTTCAATGCTTGTGTCACTTTCTTAAAGTTATTGTATGTACCTACTGTAATTGTACTAAAAAATCAAACAATTCAGTATAAAAAGCTTTGTGGATTTAGATTCAACAGTTTTTTAGTTTTTAATTTTATTGTTTGGTATACATACAGTGTAAGAAAAGTGCAAAAAAGCTATTATATATAAATGATTAATTCTACATGTAAGTAAATAATGTTTATAATAATTACGCTAATAATGAATCAGTTCAGAGGCACAGTAACTCTTGACAAAAAAGTATAATATTTTACTATGTTTTACAAATCCAACTACAGTAAGTCTGTAATACGAATACACTGTTTCTATCCACTGGCATTCTTAATATTACATGTTATATGAATTCCATCTCGAAAGAAATACTTTAGAAAATATTAATGTACTGTAATTTAATGATAAAAGCAAAAAATTTTTTCCACAATTTTTTTCCCATATATTTAATTATATATGTTTTATTTCTTCTAGAAATTGTTCTGTCAAATTTAAGAGCTAGTGAATCTAGTGTTACTGATGTAACTATTGGATCAGTATCTACAATAAACTTCAATAATGTGATTGCAACACACCAAGTGTTGGCACGAGGAGTCTCTGGTACAGATTTGTGGCAGTTGACGATGTGGGGAAGTGCAAATGAGAATGGAGATGGAGAGCGTTTTGGAGTGATAACGCAAATTTTGACTGACAATAAACAAGACATTCCTCTTTTACCAACGGATATTGAACTGAATCTTGGAAACATTCAAGTTGATTTTGATGCAGCAAACATACCTGCTGACGATTTAAAATATTTATGCCTTCAGTTGTCTGCAAATGAAAATGCCATTCCTGAGTTCCAAGTGACTGCTTACCCTAATGCATCCTCACTCATCACATGTTTTCCTGCCTTAACAAGTAAGGTTCATTTTAAGTTCAAGAAAATTATAATTTGTAGCAACATTCAATTTTAAATATTGCATAGATTCTTAAATTTAATTATAAAAATGTGATGAGTCTAATTTTCAATAATTTTCAATATTTTATTTATTTACCTACAGTAATACAGTATATATATGTTTTAAGTGTAGGTAACTTATATCTTTCATTATATTTCTTTTTACTTAGAGCCTTCTGTGACCCTTCTAAAAATTAATTGGGAAGTAAGCACTTTAGCTCTAATGATTGGAGAGGAAGATAACATTAGTGCTACCTATAATGCAGAAATGTCCAGTACTAGCTCAGCAGTTTCTGGTAAACACATGTGGAAAGTTGGTATTTTTGGCGCAACTAATGTAGAAGGATCTGGAGAGCGTTTTAACTATATAGAGCAAATGCTGACAGAAGATGATCGTAGTCAGTCATTAGCTGCTGGAGGAACTCTGCACTTTTTTAGTAAAATTAAATTTGACTTATCTGGTACTGGTTGCAGCAAGTTTACGCATCTTTGTACTGTCATATCCAAAGATGAAAACTCCACTGTTGACTTTGAATTTATTGTTGGATCTCTTGGAGTAAACTGTGAAAAAGCTAGTTGTTACAATGGTACGAGTTTTTATTTTTTATAGATTATTACAAAACAAAAGCTTTTTTATAATTTCATTCAATTATACTCTGTCTGATTTTGAAAATAGATAAGAAATAAAATCTAAAAGAGCACCAATTGTGGCCACTGTAGACAATATAATATAAATACATATCATATATTTCACCAGACTTATTGAATCACTGATGTGTCAAGTGTTATGTATTAAATATCATGTGCTGTAATTGTAATTGCATTAGTTATATATACAGTACCTATGTTTATCATTTATTGGTGAAAAGTAAAGTAAATGTACCAAACATATAATAAAGTTTCTTACATATTGTAAATTAATTTAATACCCATTATTTTTTTAATAGATGTCTCTCTTCAGTTTGTAACTGTACCAACAAGCCAAATGATTGTTAACCCAGGTAGCAGCAAAAATCCTTTGACTTTTGATGCCACTCTCGCATCTCGAGGCCCAATTGGAATTAATGGTACAAACTCTTGGAAGGTGATGGCATTTGGTAGTGAAAGCTCCCTTGCAACTGGTATTCGGTATAATGAACAGCAGGTTATCCAGGCACCACAGACTGATACTGTATTAAATCCATTCTTGCCTACACTAGATCCCATAGCCGATATGGGAAATATCACCTTTAACTTTGACATGAGCAAACTTCCCTGTGGAGTTGTGAAATTTATTTGCCTCCAACTACAGAAAGGAGACAACCCAGAACACATATTCAACATCCTCTACCTAAATGAAAGATTTGAGCTTGATGTTAATCAGGGTGCAACTTGTTACCCTATCTCATGTAGAGGTAAGTGAGCACAGTCTTGCTTTTCATGTTGAATAACAATAATTTTTAAAGTTTGTCATTTATATTGGTTGAGGTTAAAGTGCTGGTTATGTCATACACAAAGTGATCAACTAAAAGGTTAATATCACCCTCTATTTGCAGAAATGATAATGACTAATCTGACTTGGAAATTGGATAAGAGCAACTCTGTTATTGGTCAACTGAGCAAAAACTCTTTAGTTGCTGACATAGCCACTGCCCACGCCAGTAATCCTGTAAGCGGTGATGGTCTCTGGCAAATGGCAATCTTTGGCTCAAAAAATGCTGAAGGAACTGGAGATAGATTCGGAGAAGTATCTCAAATTTTAAACAGTCAGCAATCAAGCAAGTCTTATACGGGTGCTGGTGCAACCATGAACTTTGATAATGTTGTATTCGATTTTGAATCTGGCTCAGTTGGATGCAACTCTTTTGACTACATCTGTGTAGAAGTAAAGAAGGACAGTAACCCTGAACCAGACTATATCTTGACATTTAAAGATGGTGGAGACAGTTTGATATCTTGTCAAAAGTCAAACTGTAACAATGGTAGGTTCACCTAAAACGGAATTCAAATTTCCAATTCATTTACCTCTTCAGATTTCCAAGAATAATAAAAGTGTTTGGTAATAAAAACATTAAAATATATTGATAAATATATTTCCTATTTTATCTAAAAATCATTAAATAAATCTGTTGTTTTTTCTTTCTTTCAGAGGTGGTTGTCAAAGATGTACAAATTAAACTGTTGGGTCAACTTTTAGCCAATAGGCATAACAATAGCATACAGTTGCAATTCCTTGGATTGCCAGCAGAAATGACAGCTGGTTTAAGTGGAATGGGGCTGTGGCAGATATCTATATTTGGGAGTACTGAACCTGATGGCTCTGGCACACAATATGGCACACAACAGAAACTTCTTACTCCAGCTCAGCAAGATGAGGCTCTGATTCCAGGCCAAGTCTTGGACTTCTCAGACATCATTTTTGATTTTGATATGTCTGATCTCTCCTGTGATAAGGTGAAATATATGTGTGCCAGACTGGAGATCGGTCAAAATCCCAGTGTAGATTTCACCCTACGAGGCATAGACAATGCTACAAGTCTTACGCAGTGTGTAGAAATAGAATGCCAAGGTGTGTAGAAACCGAACACAATTGTTCTTTATTTCTACAAGCATTGTAATATGATCAGAATTTTTAAACTGCCAATATATAATGTGTTTGTTACAAACATGTGTGGAGATCAAAGCGCACTGAACATATTTACCATTACATATGGTAAAATGTTCAGGGCTTGATGAAACACTTGATGAGGTCAGAATTTATGAATGCTTTATCCTGTTCTTCAGGTGGATGAAATCACCTCCACCCCCTCCTTCCCCTAATTCCGGTCTTGCCGTATTACTCTGCCTAGTGCATGCTATTGTCATTCTAATTTGTACACTTACAACCTAATATAATGTAAAGTGTATGCTACCTTTTATCTTCATTATATTGCACTATTTCTTACAAAAAGCACAATTTTTATTGTCTTACCTTCAGGCCCTTATCCCTTTATTCATTTTCTGAAAAAAGTCCTCCATTTGGAAAAAAAATTAATTTGGACACCCAACAAATTTCTTTCAATTCAATTTGCAAGTTTTATTTCCTAAAACTACTGGATTATGAACTTCTCCTTGTCTTGGATATATTGTTAAAAAAGACAATTTTTCTGGTGCTTTCTCTAATTGTGCATTTTTTTATTTACTTTTTTTGCTGTGACTGTTCTTACACAGGAGATCAAAAAACTGGTGTTCAGGTTACTAGCATAGATTGGTCTATTGGCACTGGCGCATTGATTATTGGTGAAGATGATAACACAACACTAAATTATAAAGCAGTTATGTCAGACAGTTCAAGAGATGTGGAAGGCACATCATTGTGGACACTCAGTGTATTTGGAGCCAAAAATATGCAAGGAACTGGTACTAAATTTAGCTACAAGCCCCAGGCTTTAAATGCTGTACAGCAGGCTAAGCCATTAAAATCTGTAAATGGCAAATCTGAACTTGTATTCACTATACCAGATTTTCGCTTTGATCTCTCTGGTGTGGGTTGCGGAGACTACAAATATTTGTGTGCCAAATTAGACAAGAATGAAGACGCGGACCCTGATTACGAGTTTGAAGATTCGGCTTTGAAACTTAACTGCAAGAAGAGTGATTGCTATAATGGTGAGTACTGCCTATAAAATCTGACGCATTATATTTTAATAATGAAGTAATTACTGAATTAGTCAGTGTAATTGAGTAATAAAGTAATTACAGTATTCAATTACACTTGCTAATTTAATACATTTGCTAATATTTTATTAAAAATGAATCACACTCCTATTTTCATTTTAAATATAAAATTAAAATGAAGTTAAATAAGCATTGACATTTATTCAGGAGGAGCTAACATAATATTTACTCATTTTACTACAGTATACAGTATTTTAAACAAACTTTATTGTAATTTTTTGCAGAGGTTACTCTTGGTTTTGAGGCTCAGAGTACTGGTTCATTGAAAGCTGCACCAAGGCTACCCAAAAACGAAATGACTTTTGAGGCTGATATAGTTTCACGCGGCCCAATAGGTGTCAATGGTGTTAATTCATGGAATGTAGCCATCTATGCTACTGATACTGCTGATGGTAAAGGTACCCGCTACAGCGAAACACAACAGTCATTAAGTCCTCCGCAAAGTGCTACCAGACTTGCCCCCTTCTCTACATCAAGGATTGGTATTGTACCATACAACCTCGATATGACTGAATTAAATTGTGAACAAGCGCAGTATGTCTGCTTACATCTCACCAAAGGTAGAAAATCGGAACATGAATTTACAATCCACCCAATAAACGGAGAGTATAATCCAGACGAGAATGAACTCTACAAATGTTTTCCAGTAGAGTGTGAAGGTAAGTTGTTTTGAGTTTACACTTTTTAATATGGTAAAGAAACAGAAAGGAGAAAGCATGGCATGATATGATATGGTAAGGTAATGTTTACCATATTATACTTAATTTTTAAGATAGAAAGTAAGAATTTGAAATCACTCAACTGTCATTAGATAGACAGAAATTACAATTCATATATTATTTATTTGTAACAAATAAATAAGTGTATAATTTTCATTTATTTTTCTTGTGCAAATACAATGAAAAACATGTCTATAAAATATTCCATTACGATTGCATTCACAAAAAGTGAACCTAAACACGCATTTAAATGGGATGTGCAAATTAAAATAAGATCATTGACAAATATTGTGGATAACTGCAGAAATAATGAACTCTACATTCAGTTCAAGTAAAATTCTTTTTTTTTTAATGGCTTAGTAGTCTAATTATGAATTTAATTCTGTTCTAGGCATGGTGTTTCTGAACAGACATGTAGAGATAATAAATATCTACCTAGATACTGTGAAAATACTAAAATCTTAAGTGGGTCTCAAATAATTAACAAATAAAAAGATTTGTTGAAATTTTTATTATATTTTCTATTACATTTGTAAGACTACTGAAGACAGTCAAATTCAGTGATTTTTCTATGACTTGTGTTGCTCAGAGGTCCCAAGTTGGAAGAAATTCCGTCCGGGAGATTGGTTAAATTAACTTCTTTAAATATTTAATTTTTTTTTTTTTTTTGTGCATATTGATACCAATCGGCACTGACTTCTGCGAGACAATTGATAATAAAGTACTAAAAACATGCCAAATAATTATAAATTTACGGGAGATGGGTTGTTTTCTGGGAGATTCTTGCTTGCTTGCAGGTGTGCCATGCTAATTTCCGGGAGACTACCGCGAATTCCAGGAGACTTAATAGCGCCACTTGTGATAGTGAACTCACAATGTTCATTCTTAATTACTAAGCTCGGAAGTTGTTGCGAAAATCTGTTGTAATTAATTGTACTACATATGACTGTACTGAAATTCCCTTCTTTTTGGTTTTTCTCTAAAGAATTCTGTTGCCTTCATATGTGCCGTATCAGCTTCTTGTCAGTAGTATATTGTCTCAAACTTCCACATTTTAAGAATTCAGAAAAGGTCCTTTTTATTTCTCAGGTTTCTCACTACAGTATGTTTCCTCCCTGCTAATATCATTGCTTGTTGTCATTCTGAATAATGACTTGTGCCAAAAATACCTTTTTATTTTCTGCCTCCTGTTTGTGGATTTTGATTTCATTCAACTTATTTAAATAATTTTTAAAAAATTTTTGCATTATTGTCATTCAAATGTGAAAATGAAAATATTATATCGATGCATTTATCATTTTTTACAGGTGTTATTGTAGATGACTTAGACTTTTCATTAGAAAGTGTTGATACTATGGTCTTGGGACGTGCTACAGGTGTCAGCCTTGATTTAACAGCAGGCACAACTATTGACAGTACTGCTACGCAAGGCGAAGGATTGTGGAAAGTTACTGTTTTTGGTAGCAAGAATAAGCAAGGCACCGGCCTTCGATTTGGCCAAGTTGATCAAGTTCTCTCCAAGAATCAGGCAAAAACATCTTATGCTGGTTCTGGGGCAGATCTTTCATTCACTGGAGCTAAATTTGATTTTAAAATTGCTGAGGTTGGATGTGAGAAATTTCCATTTGCGTGTGCTCAGATTCAACGTGGTGATAACCCAGTACCTGAATATTCATTCCAGTCTTTACAAAAAGGCAACCCTGACCTCTACAGATCTTGCAAAAAAATGAAGTGCAATTCAGGTGAGAGGTTAACATTATATAATAATAATAATAATAATAATAATAATAATAATAATAATAATAATATTAATAATAATTTTTATATACATATAATGTAAAATAATATTAATATAAACAATAATATCATCATTATTACTATTTAATAATTCAGTTATCAATGAGTAATATAATGTTTAAAAATAATAATAATAATTATTATTGTTTTTCCTGCAATAATTATATAAGTATATATCATAATTATTGTAACAATATAATTAGTAATTAAATTTGATTAAAATTATATAATGACAATATTAATAAATGGCAATATAATATTTATTAAAAACTATCACTAAGTCATAATATGATTAAGCAAAGCAACTTTGCATAAAGTTCTTTAAGTGTATCAGTATTATAAAGCTCTAACCAAGTATTAAATTTCATGGGACAATTGCCCAATATGTGTGTAATATTTAGGCACATGTAAAGGAAATGTAAATTAGAATAACCCACTTAATAGTGTCATTGTGCAGAATCACATATGGAAATGGTCTGTGACTACATAGTAGCCATAGAGAGGCACCTATATGACATTATCATTGCCATATATGGGCAGGTCACATATATTTGTTGCATAAAACATAATAGTATGAACACATATGGGCAGATCACAGGCATTTTTTAGGCATAAATGTTTAAAACCTGAAACAGTAGTGTGGACTGACATTAAAGATCATACAGTACATGCATTACCATATTCCAATTGAAAGTAAAATAATTTAATGATTTAAAAAATTAAAGCATTAAAGAAACTAATTCTATATTTCAAGTTCATTTATGATGATTTGAGCATTTTATACAATCCAGATCAAGAGAATATTCTTATTCTTTGTACTTTTTTTCCACTTCAACATGGATAAGATGATAAAAAGTAATAAGTTTATGTTGTTTTTATTTTAAAAGTATTTTGCCGTTTTTATTTCCAGAAATAAAGATTGAGCGTTTAAATATGACGGTAACTGGCGGTAGTGTTGAAGACTATTTACCCAGCAATGAGGTGGACATGTCTGTGTATGCTGTACCAGACAGCGAAATTGGCGTTGAGGGTGAAAATCTATGGCGGATGTCACGGTTCCTGAGCCCTACCCAATTTCCAACACCTGACACTCCACGATATGTACTCGAAACAGATGAACTTTCCAAAGAACAAGCCGACATACCACTTGTACCGGGAGACAACATTCAGTATGGTGCAGTAAATGCGGACGTTGATATGACCATGCTTACATGCAAACAAACTGGGTATATCTGTGTAGAGCTATATAAAAACGAAAAAGCCAGCGTTGATTTCACCTTCACTGCTGATTCTCAGTTAATAGATTGTGAAGAGATGCCCTGCAAAGGTTTGTAATGAATTAATGTCTGTTGTCAATGAGAGATTCAAGTCTACATTGAATACATCTTGGGTAGACACAAAACACAAAATAAACACACCACCATACATTACATATTAAGTGCATAGTTATAGCAGTAGGTAATTTTAGCTGTAGTTAGTAGAGTAGAGAAAGATTCAGATTCAGTTCTTTGTCTTGTTTAAATCCACAAAATTTATTTTCATTGGTGTAGACTTGTACTTACAGTGTATTTGGATTCAATTTTTGTAGAGGTGTACCTGATGGGATTTGACTGGGACTATGATCCAGAGAGTTATGTTTTTGGACAGAAAACTCCTGGTGTATTCCGTAGCAATGTTACATTTAGCCGTGAGAGCCAAGTTTTGGGTGCTGGGTCAGGCCTCTATCGAATTGGAATGTACAGTAGTCGCAATGCAGATGGTTCTGGTAAGAAGGAACGGTATAACTACCAGGTTCTCGACACCACCCAACAGGGACAAGCAATGACAACAAATGCAAGACGCGAACCAGACTTAAAGTACCCAAATGTGCCAACAAGTTTTGAGATTGGGTCTGTTGGTTGTGATGGTACAGAGTACATATGTGCTGAGTTTACCAAGGGAGACAGTTCCAAACCTGATTACACCTTGGTGGTACTAGGAGCAGAAGAACCGATTATGAGATCCTGCAAAGATGTACCATGCAATGCAGGTATGTTATCACAAACAAAACATGTGACATGCCTATGGTCATGATGACATCACATACCCCCCCCCCCCACACACATCCACACCCACGCATATGAGGCATGTTGTAGCAAAATGGCTAAGTTGTTGCAATAATTAAAATTCAAGTTACTGGTATTTTTAGATACCTGAGTATGTAATCTTTAAAACAAGGTGGCATTCATTGAAATTGGACATTTCAAGCATACATATATATATATATATATGTATATATTAAGGGAAACCTTAACAATGGACAGGGTTAAAAACAGTACCAAAGAAATATGGCTGTCTCTTATACACATCTAGATGTGTATAAGAGACAGTATATATACAGTATATATAAAGGCTTTCAGATGGAGTCTTGTTTAGTTTTTAAATTTTAACAAACTTTGTAAAATAAATGTTTTACTAGATTCTCTAATTAAAAATGTGTGATTGTATTATGACAGCTGTAAGAATCAGAGATGTTGACCTGTCTGCCACTGGAAAGGTGAAGTCAGACAAGAAGAATCAAATGGTTACACTTGATGTTACTGGATTGACTGATTCTACTAGTGCTGGTGTGGTTGGCTCAGGCCTCTGGAACCTCAAGGCATATTTGTCCCCTGATCAAAATGGCTCTGTGCAGTCATCAGTAATTGCCAACACATTAAACTCCGGCCAGAAAGATCAGGATTTGTTGATGCCAGCTGATCTTCCATACGGAAAGATTCCAGTATCATTTGACACAACTGGCAAGAAGTGTTCTGACCTGCAGTATGTTTGTGTAGAGATTTCAAGAGATCAGAATTCCGATCCAGTGTATGTTCTTGAAGGTGTTCCAGATGAGGAGAGCTTAAAGAAATGTACTAAGCTGCAATGTGAAGGTAATTGTGAAGGAATGCATTTATTCAGAAAATCTCAAATCACATAAAAAACAATAACAAGATAATTCAAAAATATAGACAATGATAGTGATATTCCAAGGAAGCTAAGACTTATTCTCTTGAGATCCCTACGTAGAAAAAAATTTACAACAGATACATAAAAATCGATTTTATTATGAAATTAATTGAATAAAAGTTTGGATTAAGAAAATATAAAGATTTGAATCTTAAAAGGGTTTTTAACTAACTAGTATCCCTATTAAATAGAAAAAAACTTAACTTCCTTCTTAAAACTGTAATTCAATTTTATTTATAATATGAAGTGGCAGACTATTCCATATGCATATTCCAGTATATATAAATGAACTCTATCCAGAACCATTAAAATTTTTAAAATTTCTTTAGAGACTGACAAATCAGATGAGTGTGGGTGTTTCTTTAAAACAAATTGTTAATTATAAATTATATCTCGTATAATAACAAAAGTTTGAATTTGTACCCTTAACAACTGTAATATTTAATCTATTTCTACAATGACAACATTAAAGATGTGTACAAATTTTATGGATCCATATGATACTGCTGTACATGCAGTTTTATAATTTTGGTGCCTAATGCCAGTTTGTGAACAAGTAGACACTGCGAATGAGTAAAACTGGTAAAAGGAATGATGAGATATTCGTCATTGCACCATAAGCCAAACAAAGAAATGAATGGTCTTGCCTTTTCATGAGGTTGAAGAGTTGTGAAGCTAGATCTATTTAGTAAGCCTACTAAATATGATGCCATGCCTAGGCCTGTGTTAGAAAGAACCAAATTAATGTGTAATTGGGCCTATCACTACCAGCTGGTGAGTTAAAAGTAGCAAAAAAAAATAAAAAGAAGCTGTATCAAGAAGTAAACACACATTCCCGCTTTTTTTTTTTAATTCCGTCCATTAAAAATATGAGCAAGAACCAACAATTTCTGTTATTTCATAGGGGTCATTGCAAAAGACTTGATCTACCCACGTGTTGAAGGTGAAAACTACATCATTGGACGCGAGACACCAGTCAGGACCTCAAACTTTAGAGTTGAATCAGACTATGAGAGTGCTGGTGCATCTGGTACTGAATTGTGGAGAGTTGGCATCTTTGGTAGTGACAATGCAGATGGAACTGGTGATCGCTCAGGTTACAAGGAGCAGATTCTAACCCCAGAACAAAAAGGCATAACAATGACAGGCAGAGGCCAATTTCTTCCTCTGGGCGTTGTTGGTGGAGATTTTGACATGGGATCTGTTTGTTCAAATGGGCAATATGTGTGCATGGAATACGCTAAGGCCGACAACCCATCACCAGACTTTGCATTCTCTGCAATTGGTGATAAAGCCACACCAGAGAATACGCTTGTAAAGTGTGAAAGACCAGCGTGCTCAGATAGTAAGTTATTCTTTCTTCCATTATACTCATAAAACATGTTTTTGTTTGTTTCTTAAAACAAAAAGAAAAAAATTCTCTTAAATTTTAATGATATACTGTTCAACAATATATTGGAATACTCATTTGAAAGGATCAAATAATTTATTTACTTCCAACCAAAAACAGATAAAACAAAATTTAATTGATAAACAAATGTATTATTTTAATGTCTGTTAATTAATGGACAAAAATTCCTTATTAAAATTGTTAATAATTTACTTAAAATATTATACAAATTAGGAATATCAAATATAGATTTGAATGTTTTCAATTCAATTCAATAATAAGTTTATTCAACAATGACATGGAAACAGTTGTATCATAAGGAAAGGGAAAAAAAAGGCCTTGTCTCATAGTGACCCTTGATAAAAATAAAAATAGTAACAATTCTAATAATAATGATGATGATGATGATGATGATGATTATGATGATTTGACTACAGTTAAGTCGACAATAAGGGATATATAGGCGTACTGTATATATATGTTGTTTAGCTCATGACAGACTATGCATATTATCTTTTAGATATCACAGGATTTGTAAGACTAGTGAAAACAAGAGTAATGGCTTAAATGTTGACTGATGCATATCTTGAAAAAATTGTTGTCATAAAATTACTGAATTTATTGTCTTCTAGCTGTGGCTTTGCGTCGACTTGATGCTGAAATTGCACCAGGACAGGATGATGTTTATGTAACAGAAGGCACTAAGAACAACCCACTGAAAGTAAATCTTGAAGCTACACCTGCTTACGACAGTCTTGGAGTTGAAGGAAAGAATTTGTGGAAGATGTCCCAGTGGGTGTCACCAAACAGTGATGGCTCTGGAAAGAAATATGGTTTGAAAGATCAAGTTCTGACCCCACCAAAGGCTGGAACTACACTTGATCCAGCTGATTCCAGAATGGGATTTGGAGAAGTTGAAGTCAGTCCAAACTTACTGAAAACCGATTGCAACAAAGCTAAATACTTGTGTTTCAAGTTGGAAAAAGGTACCAAGCCAAAACCAGACTTCAATTTCAGAGGTGATGAAGATGAACTTACAGACTGTGTCAACATTGAAGAGCGTTGTCGTGGTGTTGTTGTAGATGACATGGACTGGGAAGTAGATTATAAACCAGGATCAGTGATTCCAGGTCAGCCAACCCCTATCACATTGGATACAAATATCAGTACTGTACCAAACACGCGCAGTATTTCTGGAAATGGAATGTGGAACCTTGCAGTTTTTGGAAGCCGCAATTCTCAAGGAACAGGAGATCGATATGGAGAGGTACAACAGGCGTTGAGTGAAGATGAACAAGCCTTCCCACTTACTGCTGGTGATCCATTAAAATTCCCCAAAACTAACACAGATTTTGATGTTGGCAGTCTTGGTTGCAGCAACTCTCCTTATCAGTTTATGTGTTTAGAATTTTCAAAAGGAGAATCCCCACGACCAAAAGACTTCTCATTCACTGCTCTTCCAGATAAAGAAAGCCTCATCTCATGCAAGGAGGCAGATTGTAATGGTAAGTCTATATTTCAAGAAATGATACATTAGATGTTTTACAATACCAACCTTATCAAATTGCAGCATCTCATTTCTAATTTCAAATTTTCATTGCAGTTATTAATTTTCATTGTGTTATAATCAATGATTTTGTAAGCTTGATGAGTATCAGTATACAATCATTTCAATTGTATTTTACAGAGGTCATCCTTACTGGAACAGCTACAGAGAGAAATAGTGGAAGCGTTGTTGAAGGGAGACAAAACAATCCTCTCAGAATCACAACAACAGTAGAATCTAGTCCAGAGGGTGCTAGTGCAAACAGCCGAAGATCATGGACAATGACTACATTTGGTAGTCAGAGCCCCACAGGCCAAGGACCAATGATTAGTCCAGAATCTGTGTACATGCCGCCACAATCTGCTGATAGACCACTGACTGCTGGACAACCTATGACATTGGGACCAGTGGACACCAACTTAGATATGCGTGGGAAAACCTGCACTGATGTTCCATACATCTGTTCAAGAGTTGACCAAGGATCACGACCACAGCCAGACTTTGCTATGACAACTATGCCAGATGACAGAGTTTTAACCAGCTGTTTCCCTAATAAGGCCTGTGAAGGTAATTTCATAATCTATTAACAAACATTTTTTTTTGGAACACAACCCCTCTTCAATATGCAAAGCTTGCCTCCCCAGTCGTCCCGTCACTATAAATTTTCTAAGCAAAACAATTATGTTCAAGTGGTTCACCTCATTCCACCTTGTTTGGCCTGCTAGCTGCCCCTCACTTTATTATCAAGCCCTTCTACTTAACCTCATATCCCCATCAGCTCAACCCCCCCTCCCATTTTTTATAGATATGCCTAGATATGACACTGAATATGTCCCAGGTTTGAATCCCTGTTGGGGCACCTACTTTTTTTCACACTTGTAGATTCCTCTTCTTTAACGTTTACACTACTTGTATCATCAAAAGGTTTCCGAATTAAAAAAAATATATACTTTATACAAATCACTGGATTTAGAAAATACATTTACATAGTATGATATTATGGTCAACAGGTGTTGTTGTCGAGGACTTTGATTGGACAGTGGAAGGTGAAATCAACAAAAACAGACCATCAGAAGTCACAATTAATGCTAATGCAGTGGCACCAGTCACCTCAGCTGCAGTATCCGGAAATGATCTTTGGCAAGTCAAACTTTTTGGAAGCAAAAATGAGGATGGGACTGGTAATGAATTAAACCCAGTTTCTCAGATCTTGGGTCCCTATAATTCAGGTCAACCTCTTAGTCCAGGACGTGGAGTTGATTTTGAGAATATTCCGGTTGAGTACAACTTTGGTGAATTGGGATGTGGTGAATACAAGTATGCTTGCTTAGAGTTGTCCAAAGCACCGAACCCAAGCACAGATTTTAGTTTCAAGGTGAAACAACCAGGAAAGCCTGATGCCAAGACGATTAAAAAGTGCAAGAAACAAGAGTGTCCAGAAGGTTAGAATAGAATAATCGTTGTCTATTGAAATATATTAGTCTGACACTAATTAAATTGACTCGACAATAATGCTTTAAATGGTCTGAATTCTAAATGTTATTCTTATGATTAATGGTTATGGATAATTAACACTTTTATTTTGTTCGTCTTTTCTCAATCAGGTGTTGTAATGGAAGAATTGCAGACGAGACCTGTCTTCCCATCAGGCTTAAATGTTGTTGAGAATAAACCAAGAAATAGTTTATATTTAAATGTGGCAGCTTTGCCAGCAAGCGAATCCAATGGCATTGAAGGAGATGATCTCTGGCAGTTAGATGTCTTTGGTAGTGAAACCAAAGATTGTGCAGAGCCCAAACTCAACCCCAAAACAAATGTCTTTACCTCATATGAATCACGCAAAGAAATAGCTCCTAAAGGCACCAGTAATAATCGCAAAATTGAATATGGAGATATATTTGTCGATTATAGTATGGAAGGCATAAGCTGCAAGAAAATGAAATACATTTGCACAGAGTTGAAAAAAGGACCAAATGCTGACCCTGATTTTGCCTTGACTGCAAAGAACCGATTAGTTGCTGCAAACCAAGTCAAGTGTTCAGGTAAGAAAAACCTTGTGGTTACATATTATTGCTTAATAGATCCACTGAACAGTCGAGATACATGTTTTAGAAAAGAATTTTATGCAAAGGCTCTAATTCTAATGTTGATGTCAAATATTACACCAAAAGATATATGTGAAAAAAAAATTGAAATGCAAGCCCTAGGCAGGATTTTTAAAAGGGGTGGGGGGGGGGGGGTTATAATTTTTCCTAAAAGGGCACTTTAAATCCTTACCCACCTCAGGGGTGGGGTAAATTTTATAGATATAACACCTCAGATGTCCGGAAATGACAATAAAAATGTCAAATTTCAAATAATTAGAGTTCATTTCAACAACTACCATGCAGATGAAACAGTCATAACTCCTTAACGAAGGGTTGTATCGACATATTTTTTTGTTTAAAATGTTCGCAAAAGATGTATCTAATTACAGTACTGTATTAATAAGAAAAATATTAAAATTTGTTTAGTCTGTCAAAACTTATTTGAAATTCAAACTTATTTGAAATTCACATAGCAACACACACTATATACAAAATCGGTCCTCAATTTCCTAGTTAAGTTTTGACAGACTAAACAAATTTTCAATTTTTTTTAAATTCATATAGGACGTAGATATATCATTTGCGAACATTAAAAAAAAAAAAATGATGTTGATACGGCCCTTCGCTTAAGAAGGTATGATTTTTTTAACTAACTTTGACCTCCGAACATGCCAGTTCAATGCTCAGTTTCCACCACTGGCTCGACCATAACCACAATAGCTTTAGCTCTTTAGCATCCTTTGCAAGTAATAGACCTTTCCGGAGTGTCAATCAAACTTAACAACTGACCAATCAGAACAGCGCTAGGAATACGCTCGCGTCTCACAAACACACATGTTGTCCCACAAACACACGTGTTCGCGTATGTTTTAACACTGTCGCCTTGAGCAACAATATCCAAGGGGCGGGGCTTAGCGGAAAGGTCCATTACTCACAGTTGCACACCAAGTACTTCTAAACATTAGTTTAGTGCAACAGTAGCCTCTTCAAGCACATAGTATACGAAGTTGCCCTATGCACTTCACATAAACAAAAAGGAAAAAACTACTAAGAAAACAGCATGCTCTACTTATTTTTTAATAATGGTTATGTTTCCATTATAAAAACATGTGCATTTGTTTCATTTTGTATCTTGTTCATATTCAGGCCAAGTACAAAAAATTACTGGTTTTCGCATTCAGGCCAATATTACAGTATGAAATATATAGCCTACATATAATATATTAGCAAATACATCATTATTATTAATAACTGATGAGGATGATTTTGATGTTAATGGTGATGATGATATTAATGATAATGACATGTTGATGTTGAGGATAATAATGACAATGATGCTGATAAACATAATAATAATAATGAAATTAATATTAGTAACTGTTCTCAATTACTTCATGCCAAAATCATATTCATATGTACATATATCATGTACTGGTATATATAAATATTAGCCTATA